CATCAGTGTCCTGAGGGGCCAGGGGAACATTCTGAACCTTCTGGTTGTCTTTCCTCCTGTTGAATTCAGCACCTGCCTCAGCCAAGTTAGAGGACAAGATCCTCTGAAGAACCTGGTAGTCCGAAGACAGCAATGTTTCTGAAATAAATAGTTGATGTTTGGGGCCACATTGGTCTCTCCTTTTCCTTCTCCACACTCTTTCCTGCTCCCTGCTCCACCTCTTCTTCCACTAAAACAAGTGAAGGCCACACTGCTCCCGGGAGCACCAGGAAGGTCATAAGCCAGGGGCCCAGGGTGGACTTATGTCTCCCTGACCCAATCATGGCTGCCTGTTATAATCACCTGGGATGCTTTAAGAAACATCCCAAATTTCAATAAATGGACACAAACTTCATTTAACAGAATCGAATTGGAAAAGTCCAGGGTGGGCTTCAGGGCAGGACTGGCATCTCTGATGCTCGCCTAAGCCCCAGGAGCCATTGGAGAAACATGGTGGGTTCCCCACCTGAGCCAAGACTTGCTGCCTGTGGGCACACCAACCTCATGTGCTGCTGGTTAAATGCTCCAGTCAGCAGGTATCAACTAGGGTTGGGGACTCTGAAAGAGTCCCCATGACCTACATCTTAAGATTTCCCAAGACCTTGCATGGTTTACCTGGCCCCGAAAGAAGAAAGAAGAGGGAGGAAAGACAAATGGAGAAAGAAGCAAGAAACTTAAAGCACCAACCTCTAAAGAGAAGCTGAAGAGCTGTGCAACAACTAGGGGGCTGAACTTGCCTCTGGTGCTGTTGCTGTCACTGCCTGAGAAGGCCCCAGGCCTGGTGTCTCAAAGAGCTGTTGAGCAGATCTTCAGCAGGACCTTCTGGCCCTGCTCCCTGATTGTCCCTGGGCCCGGCATCTGCTGCAGTTTCATCTGGACCTTCAAGTCTACAGCTCATGCTGCCCTCAAGCACCTCCTGCTGCCCCGAGAGTTCAAGGCCTCCTGCTGCTTGTTGGCTGCCTGATGCTCCAGGCCTTTGTTGATGGGGTGGTCCCATCTTGGATGAGTGGCCTATTTGGGGGAATTCTGAACACTGTGGACACTGTCTAGAGGGAGACAAGGCAGTACTTGTGGTCTTAGGAACTCCTGGTTTCCCCCATTTAAATTGACCCTGTGCTTGTTGTTCCCTGAGTGACCTAGCATTGTGTGGGCAGAGGAAAGCCCACACATAGTGAGCTGTCCTCTACTGGGATCTGTCCTTGAACAGCTGAAGCACCCCCATAGCCCTGTTGTGCCCTAAGGCTGATTTCTGCTCCTGCTGCAAAGTTGTTGTTTGACCTGGGACTGGCGCTGGCCCTCAGTTTCCCCCTCAATGGGTGCCCTGGAGGAAGAGCCTGTCCATTGCTTGTGACCTTTCATTTTCTGAGTTCAAGGTAACTGTCTATCCTTTACATACTGATATCTTTCACATGGCATTTAGGGTACTTCTACCTCAGTCTAAATGATTCCCCAATTCCTCCCATGACATGGGGACTTACTGTTTTCTAAACACAGTTCAGTGTCACGTGTCTTCACTTCTCTTTCTGGTTTATTTTATTCTGTCTGAATTGCCCTTTCCAACTCCATAATGAAACACTATTCATCATTAAAACCCCCTCCCAAATAATCTTTGCTCTGAAACTTGCCTTGAATTCCCAACTTCAGCCCTTTTCTCTCAATGATACTTAGTATTCCCTCCTTGATAGCAGAAAGCCCTGTGGTTTCAGGACTCTTGGCCAACAAAAGGAAACAGACTTTGAGGAGACATGTCCTTCATTGCTGTGTCCTCCTCTCCACTCCTGGGCTCTTAGCAAGGTCTTACTTGCTTTACAACTGAGGGCTTGTTTCTGTTGGGTGTCATTCTCAGCCTGAGTCTTCAATAAAGCCTTTGATTTAATTGCTTGGCTCTTCTTAGGAGGAAAATGAGGTCTGTGAGTATGGCAGAGAATGCAGACCCCAGGCTCCCACATCCCTCAGACCCACTGTCTCTTCTTCTACCTGCTGTTGTTTTTACATAGCAGTCGTGTCAGAAGTTATTGCACTGTGATAAGCTCTCAGACATGGTGGTGCAGTGGGCTGTCCCCTGGGTAAAATATTGGGGGACTGTTCCTTTCTGCAGTAGGAATGCATAAAGGGATAGGACGGGCTCCCCTAGAATATGTGAAACCAAGAGTCCTCTGGACAACCCAGGCTGAAGGGGATCAGTTCTTCACCACTCAGCACCACAGAAACTCACATCATTTTTTTTTATCCTCCCTCAGACACTCTGGACAATGTCTGCCCTCCACTTAGAAGAAACATCAGGGCCTTCCACTCCTAATTCAGTTCAGTCAGAGTGGCCCCCTCTAGGAAAGGTAGTGAAAAGGACCGTTCTGTCAGCAAAGAGTCTTGGAGTGCAGACACCATCACCAGCCACATGTGGAATTGGATTCAAGGAGCGTTTCCTTCAGCACAGATCTCAAAGAGATCTGGAGATACCTTGTGAAGGAAATGGGTGTCCAGAATGCCTCCCTAATACCAGTATCACAAAGCTGTTTGGGTCAAAGGAATAAGAAATGTGTCCCTCTGTGTCTAGTAAACATTAGGTCAAGAGTCACCAAGCAAACTCTATACATTGCTTACTTACATACCTGTCTCACTATAATAACCTACTACATGGGTGGACTAACCACTGATTATCAGAGAAGATAAAAGACCCATGGTTCATATTTTGGTAGAAAAGAACATTTGTAGGTGTTGTTCTGTCCATGGAGTCGTGGAAAACAGTGTTAGGGTCTGGAGTTTGTCAGTGAGGCAGGAAAGGGTCCATATCTGTCCTGCAGAACAGGCTGTGCACTGCATTCCGGACTCATACCCCCATCAGTGCCACACTGGGAAAGGGAAACCTGTGCTCATTGTCAGCCCAGCTTCAGAGCAAACACCTGTGTTGGACCTGATCAACACTGAGGACACTTTCCAGAAAACAGACACCATGCAGTGGAGGGGACCTCAGGAAACAGTAATCTCCACAGCTTGGCCCACCCCAGGAGCAAACACTTGTGTTGGCTAAGAGGAACATGGTTGGTGCACTCCAGGAACCAGGCTCACCGAGCCAAGAAGACCTGAGCCCCAATAGATGAGGAATGGTCAAAACCAATAAGAGAAAAATCTGTCTTGAAAATCAGACAATCTGAAAAAGGGACCACCCAACTATACCCCCTCCATTATAATTTTAAAACATACAAGTCCCTGTTTCATGTCCCTGCATAACCAGCCAGCAGGACCCCTCTCTCCTCAGAGTGCTCTCCTATCCTTCTCCTTACATGAAAATAAATCTTTGTCTTCTGCCATTCTGGACTCCACATTGAATTCTTCCATTGCCGAGACAAGGACTGAAGACCAAGATGCCTTGGAGTCTGGCTCCTGGACTCCAGGCCCAACCAAATCAGACCTAATGTTTACGGATGGTTTAAACACTACTTAAACCTCTTCTGTGCCTTACCGTATTTTGTCCTAATAATAAATCTAAGAGGTTCCTATGAACATGCCTTCTTAGAGTTGAAGACACTGATGTACAGGGAAATAAAGTCTGTAATGTGCCCAGCTCTTAAGGTGCTACAACAGAATTTGAGCTGACACTGTTGAAATTCAGAGCATGGAGGATCCTTTTTATAATTCTCACTCCAGAAATAGCAACACTGTCATCCAACAAGGCAATCTCTTTCTAGGAAGAAAAATGATGCTATGCATTTTTTTTCCAAAAGGGTTTGGGGGGCGGGGGTGTTTTTCCATCTTTAGTTCCTTTTCTTAATTCTTAGCCACAGGACAAATTGTCACTGTAGATACACCTGCCACACAATACTTTTCATCCCTCTGGAGTGGGGGTGATGGGTGTACAGGAAGTGGCCAGCACTGGGGAGGCCCATTGGGCCCCAAAATACAGGCTTCTTCACTTCCTGGTTCAGACACTCCCCCTTGTTCTCCAGAAGGGGGAAGTTTCTGACTGGGCACAGCTGCACACCTCTCCTGCCCATGCCTTCTGTCTCCCAAAAACTGCTATGGGGAGATGTGGATTCCAGGCCAAGCTCTCCAGGACTCTGGAAAAGTGAAAGGGGCTTTCATTTGCTCCCTGCCCTGGGGTCACCAGGTGCATGACCTTTGTTAACCTCCAAGGAATGTTAAAAATGGCCTCCAAATGAAAACCAGGACTAGGTTGAGGTTCAGGCATCAGTGCTAAAGGAACTTCTTGTTCCTCCTGGTGAACCAGCAAACAGGTACTCCACATTGTGAGAGGCCCCTCCCAGCAGAGGGAAGCCTGCACAAAACCCCCCTCTCACATTATTCTCCTCCTGTGGACTGATCCTCTGATGCCCCTCCCACTCTTCTTGCAAGTCACACCCTTTTGTACTCCCTATAAAATCTGTACCTCAGGGATCCCAGAATTGCAGAAACTTGCCTCTAGTCTCTCCCAGGGACCAAACTAGACACCCAGGTGAGTGCCCACCAGATAGTCTCTGGAGCTGCTTCTGCTTGACGGTGGAGAGTCAGGAACAGGAGGGGAGAAGCCAGCACTGAGACACCTTGGGCCAGGCTAGTGGTGCTAGGTAGAGCTTGCCAGCTGCAAAGAGATTCCGTGGGGCTGGGGAAGGAGCAGCCCCAAGATTGGGAGAGGAAAGCATCTCTCTGAAGAACAACAAATTCTTCTTATTTCAGTGACTGGGTTGAGTCTTCTTGAGCTCCTAGAGGACAGCAGGGTCTGTCAGCCTGATCCTGACTGTCAGGGCAGCTCATGGTTTATACAAGAGAATCCTCTAATAAGGTGGTTGAGCTCAGAGTACACATGTATTTTACATCAGAAAGCTCAGTAGTCACAGACAGGACTGCCAGGGTGTAGTTCACTTTGGCGCTCACCCACAGCGGGAAAGAGGTTTTTGTAGAGCAAGCAGGAGTAAAATGCTCTTGAGAGGAGTATACGCCTCTGACTACTTGGTAGAACTCACAGGATGAGGTGAGTTTCGTGCTGATCTAAGGGGCACCTGTAACCATGAGCCCAGCGGTGGGAGTGGGGTCCTTTCCCTAAGAGGTGGCTTTCCCTTCTCTTTTCCCAGGTGGAGCCACCAGGGGATCGTGGCCACCATGGCTCTGAAGTCCCTTGTCCTGTTCTCACTGCTGGTCCTGGTGCTGCTGGTGCTCGAGGGGGCCCAGGCTGCTTCTGTCCAGGATTTCCAGAGGAAGCACCTGGACCCCAGGATTGGTCCCTTCAGCCGCAACTACTGCACCCAGATGATGAGGAACCGGAAACTTTCAGGAAGGGTCTTTAATACCTTTGTGCACCAAACCCTTGCGGCTGTCCAGGCTGTCTGCCGTGAGCCAAATATCCCTTGCAAAAACACGAAGAACAACTGTCACAGGAGCCCGTACCGAATGAGAATCACAGACTGTATCCTGACAAGGCATCGCCCCATAATTACCTACACATCACGGCACCGCAGCGCATACATCGTTGTTGCCTGTTTTGGGAAACCACCTATGCCTGTCCACTTTGATGGTTCCAGATAGGTCTTCACTGAGGCCGGAGAGAGATGCACCCCCAAACCCACTCATTCCCCTGGCCCCTACTCTCCTGAGCTTTTTCCTCTTTGCCCCAATGGGAATAACTCAAGTTGGGCTCCTGGCTATCCCACACCTGCATCCCTGCCTGAGGCTTGTACCACATGGCTTTGGGGGTGAGACACTCTTGTGTGGGGCCCCCTGTTAATCTCCTCTCTGCTTCTTTCAATAAAACCCACTTGCAACCTGAAGCTGCCCCAGCCAGGGACTGTGTGTGTGATGCCTCCCTGCAGGGCTGAGAGCTGGGAATTGGGCAGCTCTGGGGAGCAGCAAGGGGAGAAATCAAGTGCCTGCTCTTCTGACTCTCCTTTTCCACTTGACCAGAGAGAATCCTTTCCTACAGATTCTCAGATGCCAGTGTGACATTTTTAAGTGTTGGTTGTTTTATAGAAGGGAGTTGTGGGACTGGGGGTGTCCTGGTGGGGGGCTGTGTTTGGTAACATACATGTGGAGGTCTCTGCTGTGTGGGGCCTCTACTGCTAACCCAGACATCAGGATTGCAAACTCCTTCTGGCATGAATCTCAAAGTTGAGTGCTAACTTGACACTAACTTGACCATATTCACTGATTTTTCTTAAAAAGGAAAAAGTTCAAAGTTGTTTTTTTTTTCAAATCAAGGAAGTTTTAGGATTCTGTGTTCTTAGCGGGCAGGTAAACTTGACGCAGGATAAGAATAGAAGAACTGGAAAGGAGACACATGAGGTCAGGAACCTGTCTCACACAGGGAGGTGGGGGTGGATGGGATTAACATGGCCATTAATCCAGCTATAGAAACTATCAGAACACTGTAGGGAGTGTCAGGAGCATAGACCTGAAGGTGAAGGTGTGGAGATGAAGGAATAAACCATCCACCCACAAAGATGAGCCCCTCCCTTCTGAAAGAAGATCAAACCTCATGGGGCCCCCACAAAGGAGCAGCAGTCCCTTTGCCCATCTGGGACTCTGCAGGTGATTCCCTTCTCCAACTCTCTCCCTCTGCAGGGCCGCACTTCCTGCCTGCCCGTGACCTGCACCATGCCTGGGCTTCTCTTCCCTGACCTCCCTCAGTGGAGGCAGCTCTCCTAAAGGCTACCTGTCTGCAATCATGCAGGCCTGCCTCTCTTAGCATCCTGTGCCTTTCGATGCAGCCCTTTCTGCCTGCTTGTGTCTATGCTAGTGTACTTTATTCTTCTGTACCTTTTATTTTATTTTTTGTAAAGATTTATATATTTATACATGTAAGAACTGGTGTGGGGGGCTCCCTAGTGGCGCAAGGGGTTAAACGCAACCTATGAAGCTATCAGCAGCCTCTGGAGCATGAGTTTGATTCCCAGCCAGGGAGCTACCCACATGGCTCAGCAGACCTCTCCTGACTTGCCCGCTGCTCCCCTCAGCAGTGTGTTTCAGTCAGTCTGCCTGTTCTGTTCCCTACTCTATCTCAGGTGAATCCTCTCACCCCCACCCCCACCCCCATACCTCTGGCCTATATTACAGTTCTTGTATGAATAAACAAATTAATCTTTAAAAAAAAAAAAGAACTGGGTGTACACAAGAGCAGCAGGGTGAGAAGATTCACCAGATCTACTGAAATACACTGCTGAAGGGAGCATTGGGCAAGACAGGAGAGATCTGTTGTGCCATGTGGGTTGCTCCAGCCGGCCAGAGATCGAACTGGTGATGCAGTTGTTAGGGTGAAAGGATATCCTGAGCAAACTCCATGCAGGTTGTGTGTACTCCACCCACACTCCAGACCAAAGACATCAGACACTGGGATTCCAGGTCAGCGGAATGGGTAGGATGCATTCATTCATGAGTTTATCTCCCTCTTTTTGTCCCTGAGTTATTGATTTCTTCATTTTCCCTTTCCCTTGTTAATAAACCTTTTATTAACCTTTCGTGTGTGCCTGCAGTGGAGTACTAATAAATAAGTCCCTTTTAAGCGCGTGGGTGAGGACCTACAGTCAGGCAACCCATTTCATATCGGGGTTGCTATGTTAACACAGTGGCTGGCAATAGCTTGATAGCGGTGTCTTTAACCCCTGCGCAAACAGGGAGGCTCTTCTGTCCCTTTTCGAATAAACCTGCTCTTTCAAAGAAAACTTGCTTGGGAAATTCGCTGCGTGCTGCTGAAAGGGGAGCTCTCATGAAACTGTTACAGGGCAGGGAGAGGGGCAGCCCAGCCCCCACAAACCTGCCTGCTCTAAATAGGTTCTGCCATCCGCCACATCAACACAAAACATATGAGACTTTAATGGGAAGGAACTTTAATACAATTAGGAAACAATACAGGAAAGGCAAAGAATATAGTTTCTGAATTAAGTACCCAAAGTTACCCGTCCTCTTGTGGGTAAAACTCCATCCAAATAGCATTGGCCCAGAGCAAGGCCCCAAAGCCTGCCACAGGTCTAAAGCATCTTCCAGTGGGAACCCACAGAAAAGGACCAGACAAAACCAAGTCTGGAAGGAAAAGAGAAAAATCAAAATCAAGACAAAAACTGCGATTGTCACCTCCCCATGGGTCTCTCACCTACATCTGCGTCACCCAGGCCACGACCAAAAGGCAAACACAGTTTCTTCATGTGTCTCTCGGCTCCATGTGCCTCCTCCAGGTCTCCTTCTGGCTCTGCATCCTGCTTCCTTCCTTCCTCAGTCTCCTCTGCAGCTTCTTCTCTCCCTGCTCAGCTCCACCCTCCTTTTGGGTGGGGCAGGAAACCTGGAACCTCCCCCTTTCCTGAGGACCACCCTGTTACAAAACCTTTTTCCGGAATGAACCCAAGGTCCGGGCACTCCAAAACATCAGACACACATCTGCATCTTAGCTCCTCCTCAGCCCTGAGGCTTTATTTAAATATGTCTACACTCCCAGTGTCTTCTGCCTTTGTGACCAGCTAATCTGTTGTCTGTTGCAGCTCTGCATGGTAAATTCTCCTGTCCAATCCAGCAGCCACCGGGCCCTTGTCCCAGCTCTACCCCACCTCAAAACAGCAGTCATCACTCCAAAAGGAGGCCTTCACTTAACAGAATGAATGATAGCTGCATCAATGTCTTTGTTCCCAAATGCTGCCTCTTCAGTCTTTGCACTTTCACTTTTTCCTTGAATTTGAAATCAAAGCCCGTTCACATCCACTCTTGCCTGCTTACATGCAGCCAGACTTCAGAGCGCGTGTCCTGCCACTTCACTACATTTATTGCTAGTGTTGTGTGTGTGTGTGTGAAGTTGTTAGCACTTTCTATATATTGCCATGTCATCTGCAAATAATTAGAGTTATATTTCTTCTTTTCAGTTTGGTTCATTTTATGTGTTTTCCTTCCCTAATGTCTTTGACAAGGGCTTCTAATACTATGCTGATCTCACTGGTGAAACCTTACTGGTGTGGGTGCACCAGGGTCCTTCTAATATAGACAAGAGCAGGACACTTGATTGCCCTGGGGCAATATGTTTACATCATAACATGGAACTGGAAAGCCTTGGGAGGGCCATGACTGATGGACTTTTTGTCTCACCAACTGATCAGTGGAAGACTTTGTGAATAAGGTTAGAGATATGGTGGGGGGGTGGGTTGGGAGTCTAGTAGCACATCACCCTCCTAAAGCCCAAAATCCGATTCTCAGTTGGACCCACCCTTTTCTCTGTCCATAACAAGGCCAGTAACTGGCTCTGAGAACTACCTGCATCCCATGGTGTGCTCCTCCACTGCCATTTCTTTTCTTTGTCAGTGCAGAGTTGCTGATGGGACATGTGGGCGTGCCTGTCTTCCTGATTTTCTGAAGCTTTCAGTTTTTCACTATTGAGCATTATTGGGAGCCGTGCTACTCATGCTGTCTGACAAAAATCTGGGCTTGGGGCAGATTTCTGAAAAATGTGGAATCTCGTTAGCTGACTCAAGATTCTCCTCATTTGTTTATGGCTAGTTTCTACCATTGCTAAAATACGCATTTAAAAGTAAAACTGCAGGGGCCTCCCCGGTGGAGCAGTGGTTGAGCGCTGGGTTGCAGAGCTGCCCGCGGCCTCTGCGGTGCTGGTTCAATCCTCGGCTGCTCCCCGGCCACCTGAGGAGGGTCCCACATGGCCCGCAGACCTCTCCTGCTGCCCGCTGCTCCCCTCAGCAGTGTACTTCGGTCCTTCTGCCTGCTCTGCTCCCCGCTCTGGCTCTGGTGAATTCTCTCACCCTCCCGCGCTTCTGACTGTACCCAGTGCTTATGTAAATAAATAAATCAATCTTAAATAAATAAATAAATAAAAACTATAAAAAAAATAAATAAAAGTAAAACTGCAAATACTGATCAATCACTGAATAGCCAATTTGATGACAAATGGCACTGCATGATACAAATATTACATTTTTTTATAAAATTAGTAGTTCTCTGTCAAAAGGCAGCAATTCAACATTTGGCCTTACCTTAACAAGTGAAAAAACTTCTGGGAAAAAAAGGCTGTAAACATCCCTTGGCCAAGTCTTTGATATGGAGATGTGGTCTTTTGAGGCAAGGGCTAATTGGAGAAGGAAATTCTTTTACTTTAAAGTTAAAGATAGTAGTTGGGTGGCAGAGGCAAGCCATGTTCCAAGTATAAGAAAATTCCTGTTAAGCCAGGAGACCCATAGCCGGCTTCTGCTAAATTTTTCCTGTTTGTTTAGGGCTAATTCCCCTGGATGTAACAATTGATATGGTAGCTGTTACAGCATGCATTAGAGAATAAGTCAACAACTATTTTGTTACTGGTTAAGATAATAAACATGGCAGCACAAATAATGCATTTGGAAATAGTCAATGTTGCAATTACTGATATGCCACGTATTAACCATTTTAATAACCAAAAGCTAAAACCATCTCCTCCCCTGAACCTGATGAAATATTTGTAGTTCTGTAACAGGGTGGTCCCCAGAAGAGGGGGAGGTTCCAGGTTCCCTGCCCCACCCAAGGGAGGGTGGAGCTGAGCAGGAAGAGAAGAAGCTGCAGAGGAGACTGAG